TTCCTGTTCATCATTCAAGTCTCAGCTCAAGAGTCAACTCCTCAGACAAGTCTCCCTTTATTATTCTATCTAAAAGTAGTACTCTCTCAAACTCTCTTACTGTTTCATTAGTGTTTTATCTCTGTGGCATTTGATATTATCTGAAATTACTTTTTTAATGTAAACTCTTCAAGAGCAAGAATCTTGTCTGTCTGGTTCATTCTTGTAGCCATTGAGACTAGAATAGTGCTTGGTGCATAAACAAAGCTCTAGACTGTGTTAAATGAATAAATAAAAATACATTCTGGCACATGTAACATCTAGCATGTATAATGGTCGATTACTAAGTGGTCATACACTAACATTGCATGTCAGTCACTGTGGTGTTGGGATGCAGATGTGAAGACTGCCCTTAAGGTCAATTGAGTGCGGGAAACAGACACATAAATAAGTGGGGAAACTAAGGAGAGGTGTTTCCAGAATGCAGCCTGGGCTCTGAGGGAGGGGAGGCTGGAGCAGGCTTCAGAGAAGAGGTGATGGGGTGAGTAAGAGGTACCTGATGACAGCACCTGGTGGCCTGTGTTGAGAGTGGGGCAGGGAAGAATGGGAAGAGGGGTGCCCTGTTGATTGCTTCTCCCCTTCTCCTGCAGGAATTTTTTACTGACGACCTGTGGGGCACACTGCCTTGTGCGTGGCAGGAAGCGCTGGATGGACTGAACCCGCCACAGCTGGCCACGCTGCTGCTGGGGATGCCTGGGGAAGGGGAAGTGGTCAGGTACGGGCAAGAGGGGCCTTGTGCTTGGGGACACAGGGCGCCAACCCCTGCAGTGAGCTGTTGCTCAGAGAGCCTCACAAGGGCTTCCTGGATTGTAAACTGGAACGTTCAGGATACAATGGGGCTGTTCACTAAGGGCTTGGGCCGGGCTATCTCAGGTACAGGTCAGTGTGGCCACTCACCCTGCTGGCCCTGAAGTCCACAGCCTATGCCCTGGCCTTTACCCGGACACCTGGGTCTCAGACCCCCTCAGAGTTCCTGGAGAACCCCAGCCAGAGCTCCCGACTGACAGCTCCGTTCCGGAAACACGTCAGACCTAAGAAGCAGCATGAGATTCGGAGGCTGGGTGAGGTGAGATGATGGACATGGGTGGTGTTTGGGAGCCTGGGGACTCCTGCTTGTGAGTTGCAAAGATGTGGGCATCTTATATCACCTGCAGGACCAGAGGCTCTAGCAGATCCCTTCCTTGGCAGGTATAGATCATCTCTCTGGGTTTTTGGAGGTTTTTCACCCTTTTGCTGGGTGGGCTGGTGGCTCTGTCTGAATCTGTCTTATTCCTGTTTTCACACCTTCATAATCTGCTCAGGGCTTCACAGCAGGACTCTCCTTGTTCTGTGGGGGAGACTGAATCATTGACTTGAGAAGGGCAAGGAGAGTAGCCTGAGCCTGGGGTCAGCACCCCCATATTGGTTTCCATTATCTCTTGTCTCCCTTCCATGGCATCCTCTACCCTTTCCTCTGCCACCTTCAGCTCTTCCACCCTCATCTTGGGGGTTTGTCCTGGGAGCCAATTGCCAGGAGACCTTTGTTCCCTCCTCTTTTAGTTGGTGAAGAAGCTGAGTGACCTCACAGGCTGCACCCAGGTTGTGGACGTAGGCTCAGGCCAGGTGAGCCAGACCCTTAATGTTCTGGGGTTTTTGAGTTGTAGGGATAGACCAGCTGGAAGGCAGGTTATCAGGCCACAGGCCCAGGGAGGCAAGGGCTGAGGAGGATTGGTGGAAGTAGGCAGGGCAGAATTTAAGCCTTCTTGGGGCCTGGGACCCAGGTGGCTAAGCCACTGATAAAGATAACAATGGAGAGGGCACTGAACAGGGCTGTGTACCCCCACCCTCATGACTCCAGGGCCATCTCTCCCGATTCATGTCCCTGGGGCTGGGGCTGATGGTGAAGAGCATTGAAGGGGACCAGAGACTAGTGGAAAGAGCCCAGTGCCTGGACCAGGAACTCTTGCAGGCTCTGGAGAAAGAGGAGAGGAGGAACCCACAGGTAGGCCAGGACTGGGGGAGCAAGGTCTGCTTGGCTGCAGTTGGGCACCAAGGCTGACCTCCCTTTTCTAAATTCTTCAGCTTTAGATGGTGTGGTCCCTATTTCTGCCACCCCTTTCCTGAGGTCCCCCCTTTGCCAAAGCCTCCCCACATCCTAAAGGCACTTTCTAGCTACAAAGGGCTTTCTGTACCAGTAGGTCCTTCTCACCTGTGAAATATTAGACTCATTACCAATGAGGAACCTGGGGCCCAGAGACGAAGAGATCTGTAGTTAATGGCAACGCAGGATGTATCCCATCCTGACCGAGGGTCCAGCTCTCTCCTGTGGTCCATCTTTTCTTCCACCTCCCTCCCTGGGAAGGAACACAGGACAGACAGATCCCCTCTTGTAGCCTTTGGTGGCATGGGGGCAGCAAACAGACTTCCCTTCTGCCTTTGCGCTCTCCTGCCTCCCAGGCGGTCCCGACTGGCCCTCGACACTCCCCGCACCATGTGGTTAGGTGGGTAGACCCCACGGCTCTGTGTGAGGAGCTTCTGCTTCCCCTGGAGAACTCGCCTCCGAGCGGTGCCCGCCTGCTGCTCACAGGCCTCCACGCCTGTGGGGACCTGAGTGTCGCCTTGCTCAGGCACTTCAGCTGCTGCCCGGAGGTGACGGCCCTGGCCTCCGTGGGTTGCTGCTACATGAAGCTGAGTGACCCTGGCGGTTACCCGCTGAGTCAGTGGGTGGCTGGGCTGCCTGGCTGTGAACTGCCCTACAGGCTGCGGGAGGGCGCCTGCCACGCCCTGGAGGAATACGCTGAGCGGCTGCAGAAAGCAGGCCCCGGCCTCCGGACCCACTGCTACCGGGCAGCACTGGAGTCAGTCATCCGGCGTGCCCAACCGGAGCTGCGCCGCCCTGGTGTGCAGGGCATCCCCCGGGTCCACGAGCTCAAGATCGAAGAGTGAGGCTGGGGGAGGTGGGGGGTGTGGGGTGCGGCAGGAACTGCAGATCAGAGTCCCCTCCCACCTCGCTTGTAGCTCGTTCCAAAGAAAATCTAAATTGTGCGCAGGGGGCTGATTTTGAGTTTTCTGACTGAGACAGCTTCTCAAAATGTCTTTAAAAGGGAGTTTTGTCCCTTTCTTATCAGGAAACTATCAAGCATTTTAAAGGCCAAACAAATGGCCAAATAATTGTACAGATCTGGCTGGAAATGAATCTTTGGGTCGGTTTGTTATTGGACAGATAGCTCACAGCCAGAGAAATATTTAAAAATGCATATTAAGGTAGCAAATCAAGCCATGGTAGCACCCAGTTAGGAACAGACAGCCTGAATGGGAGGTGGCGGTTCCCCAAACCAAGCTGAGTTCTCTCCGTGGCCGACCCCACAGATACGTGCAGCGGGGGCTGCAGCGGGTGGGGCTGGACCCCCAGTTGCCACTGAATCTGGCTGCCCTTTGGGCCCACCAGGCCCAGGAGAACCGTGTGGTAGCCTTCTTCACCCTGGCTCTGCTGCTGGCCCCGCTGGTGGAGACCCTGATTCTACTGGACCGGCTGCTTTACCTTCAAGAGCAGGGTGAGGGTGGCCTGCAGCAGGGCCCCGGGGCCATTGGGGCAGGAGCTCAGGGACTCCTCCTTTAGGTCCTACTGCCACATCTTCTGGGGCTAGATTCTTCACCGAGGTGACCCTGGGGTCACCTGCTTGAGTCACCAGTCAGGTGGGGGTGGGGACGGGGACTTAGTAATACAGACTCTCACTGAATCAGTCTCTGGTGGTGCATCCCTGAGGTGCATTCTAAGCAAGCATCCCAGGCATTGAGAACGTAGAATGTGCAGAGCGCTGCCTCCTCCCAAGTCCCTGCCTTGGGCACCCACACTCCCGGTAGAGAACTGGGTCTCCTCGATGGGGAAAAGGGGCTCTGCCTACAGGCTAGCCAGGCGGTGGCTGAGTCTGCCTCTCCCCTTCTGAGTCACCCTGTCTTTCTCCCAGGCTTCCATGCTGAGCTCCTGCCCATCTTCAGCCCTGAACTCTCTCCCAGAAACCTGGTTCTTGTGGCCACCAAGAGGCCCCTGGGTGAGGCCCTGTCTGTGCTAGAGACTGAAGACAGCTGACACAGCCTGAGGAAGGGCCCACCTCGGACTCCATCTGAAGCTGCCCAGGTGCCACACACTGGGTGGCAGGGTCCGCACATCTTGCTCAGAAAACCAGCATCCTGTGTCCTGGAATCCTGGTTCCCCACAACCCTTTAGCTTCGTATGCTTTCTCCCCTTCTATGTGTTATGTAATATTATGTAAAATTTTATTTTTAATTTACTAAACAGTGGAAATCTCTATTCCCCTGCCATTTCTATTAAGTGTAGAGGGGACAGACGTGCACCCTCCCTCCTGAGCTCCTACAGAGGTGCTACAACCCCCAAGCCCCACTGTCATCCAAAACAGGCGGCATCTTCTGTTCCTCAGAGGTCTCCATGGAAGGAACCTCTCTCTTCCTTTGGTCTTCGTCCCAGAATCTGCAGGCCCTGCCCTTTGGGAGGGCTGCCGTAAGGCTGGCTAACTGCCATCCAGGTTCTGCCAAAACATCAGGACAGTGCCTGACTGTGCACTGGGTTCATGGATGCTGGTCTGCCAGAAGATAGCAGCTGCACAGAGGGGTATTCATGGCTCTTTATTGGTGCCTGAAGAGAGACGGCCTGGCCTGAAGGCTAAGGCGAGGAGGGGAGAAGCTGCTCTCCCCAGGTCAGTACCAATAGACCTTCTTGTGTCTCCTAGTCTCCTGGATGCCCATTGCCTCCATCACCTCCTCTTCCAGTGTCTTTAGACGGGGCACATAGGTTCTTTCTAGAGCATCTTCCACTGATGTGTCCTTAGGGCCATCTATTGAGCCAGAGGAAAGAAGATGGGTGGGTGGGCTGCCTAACACCCCTTACTCCCACTCCTGCCACCCACACCCCCGTCTTCTTGCCCCTCACCCAGCCTCACCAATCCATGTTTCAGGGACGATGCCATCAGTTCTGGGAAAATCAGGCTTGGGGATAATTCTTCCTGATCTTGTGGAGACTCGTACCCGCTCTCCTGCTTCAGTAAATCTCCACTCTACCTCAGTGGGTTTCCTAGTGGACAGAAGAGGTGAGCCTGGCCTGGGAGCCAAGTCTCCCTGCTACCCTCCAACCCCAAAAGTCAATGGCTAAAAACATTAAGGTTGCCATCTTGTTTCTCTGCTACCTCTGTATTGGGGTTACCTCCAGGGGGGCATGTCCACGAGATGGCCCCTCCCAACTTGTAGAGCATGCAACCCACCATTCCCTTTGGATAAATGTCAACACCTATATGGACTGAGAGACTGGGAAGCCCTCTGACCAGAGCCCCACATGCTTGCCTGTCCACAGGATCCACAAGTTTGACCTGGTTGTGGAGCAAGGGTGCTTCGCTAGGGATCATGGTTCCCCGGTAATCCTTGGTCTTGCCAATGTAGCGGTAATGCTGTCCAAAAGAGGGGGGATATCAGAGACCAAGGGATGTGAGGGGCACTTGCCTACCTCGACTCAGAGCATTCATTCAGCCCAAGTTGAAAAGTAGAAGGTTCAATTGTCTCATCCTGTGCCCCGCCAGCCTCCTGCCTCCCTGTGCTGCTCTAATGCAGAGGGACAGGTGGGACAGGCCTCCTGGGCATCTCCATCCCCTCCTGACTTACTGTATTCAGTCCCTCCAGGACCACCCAGTTTCGCTGCCGGATAACTTGAACCACTTTGCCTTGTTTCCCGGCGTCCTTGCCTTCTAGGATCTCCACCTGGGGGAAGACATGAGCGTCAGGGGGGGATCCTTGCCAGGAGCCCCCCACCCTACACCGTCTGAGGCACTCACCCTGTCTCCACAGAACAGGTGCCAATCTTCGTCAGAGATGGGTTCCACGGCCACCCGGCGCCGCCTAGTCCCTGGAGGATTCTTCCTCTTGTCTGACAGGGAGCCTGGGCGGCTCATCCCATAGCGGTAGTTGGGGGGCAGAGGGACCTTGGATGCCAAGGCCATCAGGGCAGAGAGCCGCATGGCTGGAGAGAAATCACCTAGCCAGTGAAAGAGCAAGAAACCTTCCTAGTTACCTGTTGGGTAAACAGAAACGGGGGCAAGAAACGAAGGAAATTTCCTTAAAGCACTGATTCATCTCATTGAATCCTCACAAAAAAATATTATCCTCACCCTACACAGAGAGGTTAAGTGACTTGCCTATGATTATAAATCTATGTGGGAGAATCGGCATTCAAACACATATATTTGACTGCAAAATCCAAAAAGTTCATCGAGGCCAGGGACCATGTTATCTAGCTCACCCCTAAATGCAGCAGATCTCAGTAGGGCTTGGCACACAGTAGGCACTCAACAGATAGTTCTTAAAAGCATAAATAGCAAGAGGAAGAAAATAAGTAACGTAAAAAACCTGGCATAAGGGCAACAGGCAGTTACAGGGTAAAACAGTAGAGGTAAAAACGGATCCAAATGTCCCTACACCACTTTCGATTCCTGTACTCAGGAAATAACCACTCCTAAGGCAGCTTCTTTTCTAAAGGAAAAGGACCCAGAGCCAGACTTTAGGATACTGGGTCCCAAATTTCCCAACTAAATATGTACTTCAAGCCTCCCAATTTTGGATGATGGACTAAATTAGTGGGATGGTGAGAGCTGAGGGCAAAATAATAGCTGCTTCAGCTTATGAGCACTTGCCACCTACCAGATGCCATGCTAAGTGCCTTCCTGTATCATTGAAGCCTAAAGAAGTGATGGAAGGAAGTACCGTTAATCTTGTTTCATAGCTAAGAATGGAGCTTAACTTCAAAATGCAAATAAAGTGCACTACAATCGCATAAAGAGCTCTGGGACCCGGGTTCTCGTTCCTACTGCACCATCATCTTCCGTGACCCTAGCAGTTTTTAACTTATGAGTTTTAGTTACATCATCCATGAAACTAAGGGTCGTGTCACCCAAATTATTTTTAATATTTTAACAAAGCAAGGTACAAAATAATGTGAAAAGTATTTCTTTTGGATAAATTTAAAACCATATTCTGGCACAGGCATAAATATTTGTGGGAAGGCAACAGAACAACTGAAGTACTTTTTTTGGGGGGAGAGGAACTGTTTGGGGGCTTTTGCTTTCCATGATGTTTGTATTTCCTAGCCATGTGCATTAATAGATGTATCAGCGCGTTTATCTGAACAGCTAGATACTGGGTCGTTTTTCTCCTTTATATTTCTCAAAATGAAAAAGAAAAGGTCTAATGTTATTTTCAATTAATGCTAGCTGACTGTAAAAGGGCCTCAGTGTACCCATTCAGATTCAACGAAAACTTAGGGAACACTGCAATGTGACAAAATCTAAAACTAGGAACTTCACGATTACTGGCATTTAATTTTCACACTGCCCCGTGAGAGAGGTTGACAGGTCCAAGCAGCATAAGGTTCTTTTTACAGAAACCAAGGCCCTTAAAGCTGAAGTGACTTTGCTCTAGTTTTCAGAGCTTGACAGGTGCACATCCCATCTTAAGACCCAAGACTCCTGCATGATTGCTGCAAGAAGTCCCTTATCCTCAGTCACTCAAGGTCTGCAGCTCCGGGAGGAGATCCCAGAAGCCAATCCCCTAAATCTTTTCCCTCTTTCCCTCCACACCCTGCTAAGGCTGTTCTCAGTGGGACTTTCGTGGCGTGCTCTGTAGGCTCCGTGCAAGGTGGTGAAGGTGAAGGGCGTCTGCCCCCTCAGGCCTCGGCTCTAAAGGCTTCCCACCAACTCCATCCCAGGGGCGGGCGATGTCAGTGCCCAGCAATTTTCAACACCTACCCGCTGCAAAGCTCCCGGTGCGGAGAAACCTCGGGAGAGACGACCGAGCCACAGTCGGGGATAAGGAAGGAAGGCCCTTCCCGCGCCTGCCTCCCAGACGAGCCCAGAGCGGCCAACACCTCCGGCCGTCTCACCTACTCTTCCCGCCGTGCTGCGGAGTCTCGACCTGTTATCTCGGCACAAGGGCCTGAGCCCTGCCGATCGCCGTCCTTCGGCTTTCTGGGAAGTGTAGTCTAGTTGCAGGCTCGATTAGAATCTAGCCTCTCTGTATGCTGGGAGTTGTAGTCCCTGCTACGCAGCAAGCTATAAACCGGAAATTTGCGAGTAGGAAATAAGGGAGCGTGAGAATATCGTGAGGCACGTCGAAAGTTGAAGGCAATGCAAAATAGGCTGCCGCGCCGGCGCATTCCTGCACGTGCCCTGCGTGGAGGCCTCTGGGAATTGTAGTCTCTGGAGACGATAGCTCCATTTTCTAGGTGATTGTGGCCTCTTATTCAAAGTAGAGGGTTAAACTTTCTAGAAAAGCCTAGAGCCAGTACTCTGCCTGCCCATCTCTGATGGAAGGGGTTAAAAAACTGTCACCAGCCTTCGAAAGAAAGGCATGCAACAGTCCTTTCTATACGTTGGTCTAGTTACAAAATGTCAGATCTGAAAGGAACCTCAGAGATTAATCCCACTCTTCCACCAACTCAGGGACTGTTGGGAGGATTCCATGCTATTAACTTCCGCCCTTCATAGCCAGTTTGTGGTGTCAGGCATCCCTAGCTTTGACCCTTTGGGGTCCAAAGTTGTTTGTTCCACAACCAGTCCCAACACTCCACGGCCATCTTGGGCTATGGCTAATACTGGAACCCTCTCACACCCTGCTTCTTGTGCACACTTTAAAAAAAACCTTTCCAGGTGCTTATGGGGGAAACTCTGTTAAAACAGTGGCTCGGCGGGAGAAGCAGAAAGGTGTAGATTGTGAATCTGCCCTCATGGAGAATTTTGGATATTTCTAACAGCCTGAGAATGGAGAAAGGCTGGCACCCACTACCTCAGTTTGAGAAGTTGGTTTGGAAATCATCTGCATTCCCTTTCCCCACTTCCCCCTCTTCAGTTAACCAATACACCCCACCTCCCCCACAAAAAAAGTCAAAATCCAATGTAGTAATCAACAGGTTTTATTTTCCTAAAACTGAAATTGTCTACAGTTCTCAGAGCTAAACTTCCAAAGCTAGTCAGCAATTTTTCATCAGAGCCCAAGGAAGAGAGGCAAGGGTGAAGAGACGAGACGCCGAGCGGCAGAGACCATGAGAGGCTGGTGGGGGCACTATTTCCCTCTGTCCTCTCAGTGGGTTACACATTGTACCTGGTGACAACACTGAGGGAACCAGATTGGGGTACAGGGGCGAGAAATGACACCAGAAGAAACACCGAAGCCCCAGCTACAAAAAGAAAAGTCATCAAGGCCCAAACAGAAGGGGAGCCTCCCAGTGCACCTCAGAAAAGGGGGGAACAGTGGGGAAGAGCAGAGTTGGGGGCACACAAAGGGATAGGGGTCTTTAAAATTTTTTTTTTAATTTTCTTTTATTAAAAACATTTCCTAAAAAATTTGTCTTTTATGTCTGGGTGACATATGTGACTGAAGGCTGGCCTTGAGCACTGTGGGGAGAGGAAAAAGGGCAGCTAGGAGCCTCCCCCAGGCATCCATCTCTGGCCTGAGATCTAAAGGGAAACAGATACTCCTCAACATTCCTACCCAAGCTGGGTGAAGTCAACCCTTCAGATCTCAGGTACTTGGCCCAAAATCTTTTGATGATAAAGTACAACTCCCAGAACCCCTGGTGACAGCAAAAGGAAAGAATGGATGTCCTCGACCATCAAGGGATCTATAGCAGGGAGACCCCTCCCCTACAAGCTGACCCACTTCTCCTGAATCTAGGCAGCTGGGATAACAGGTGTGGGAGAAAGGGACAGGAGCCCAAGAAGATGCCATCTTCCTGCCCACCCCTCAACACCAATTTGAAGACTGCTCCTTCCAGGCCCCAGAAGCCCACCTGCTGTTTATTCTTTCCCTTCTACTCCTACCCCGGAACCCAACCAACCCAGAGGTCTAGAATGCTTAGGGGGAGGGGGATAGGGGTGTCAGGAGGTGGAAACAGCCAGTCCAGACCCCAGCAGATACCCTAGGAGACAGCTCCAGGCAGGGGGGGACAAAGTATCCTCATCTCAGCCCACGGATCGGAAGCTATGGCCCTGACTCAGATCACAGGGGTGTGGGAACATGGAGGTGAGGGCCAGGTAGCCTGCCCCATCCAGGCCAATCTCCAGGGGCTCGGCATGGAGTGGGGAGAGGGAGTGGGAGAGGAGAGTGGATTGGGTGGGGTAGGGGTTCCCAGTTTGCAGGCCATGGCCAGTTTCCCCAGTAGCACCCAGACAGCAGCAGGAACGGGGTGGGGGCTCCTCTTGAAACATTGGTGGCTACAGGCTGCAGGGGAGGGTTGGAGGAGAGGAGGGTTAATGGTGCGGCCTTAGCCTGGCCACACCCCAGCCAGTGCCGGTCTTCCGGGAGAGCCCACCCTGCCTCCCGAGGACACCGGCAGGCCGACCACTGCGGGCCCTCCGCCTCCTCTCTGCAGATGCCCGGGCCCGCCCAGCCCAGCTGCCATGGGGCAGGGGGCTCCCTCACCTCTCATGATCTCTGATGCCTGGGGCCTCAGCATCTTCCTTGGCAGCCTCTTCCTCCTCTTCCTCCTCCTGAGGAGGCCCCCGGCCAGAGCCAGGCTCAGAGGGGGTGCTATTCTTCTCCACCTCCACAGGGAGAGGCCTCTCACTCTCCAAGGCGGCTGCTTCCTTCTCCTCCCCTTCAGGGTCTTCTGCCTCCTTGGGACGTTTCGGGGAGTCCTAGGAAGGATTGGCAGAGACGAGGTGGGAGGAGGCTGGAGGAGGGAGGACGCCAGCTACCTACCTGTGCCCCCCACGTTCGTCCCCAGCCCTGCCAGCTGAAATGTCTTCTGTGTCCCACCTTCTCAGCAAGGGGCTCCCCAGCCCAGGGCCTGGGTCTCTCTGCCTGGGGACTCCCTGGAGGAGGAGTAGCTGTCTCTCTCAGACTGAGAGCCCTGCTCCCCGGTGCCAGGTGGGGCATTTACCTCCAGCAGGTCCCCTGCTCTCCTCTTCAGCGCCCCCTTCTCATTCTTCTCCTTGGTTGGCTCGTCGATGACCAGCTTCCCTTCCTCGTCACTGCTGCCCTCGGCGTTCCCCTTCTTGTCGCCATCGCCCTCCGTGGCTTCCGGCTCAGGCGCAGGCTCTTCCGCACAGCTCTTTTTCTGGGAGGACTATGGCAGAGACAGCAGCGGCTGAGTGGCACCAGCGGATGCCATGCTGGGCCCCCGCCCAAGACCCCTCCCTCAGCCACTCACTCCTTCCTTCTCCCACCTCTCCCCCGCCCCCACCCAGGTGCCCAGTCTCACGAGTGATTTGAGACCCACCTCTGTCGGATTAGCCCCGGGGTAAACCCGCTGGCCGGGCAGGCAGGGCTCTGTGCAGGAGGGGGGAGGGCTGGAGCAGGAGGCAAAACCTCGGGTCAACTTCTCCCAGAGGGAGCTGGGACCCTTTCCCCGCCAACCCCCGCCCCCCACCCTCCCGCCTCATCCTGCCCGGCTCACGAGCACCTCCTCCTGGAAGCCTTGGTGGAAAGAGTTAAGGCCGTGTCCTAGACTCACACAAAGGCCAGTCTGCACTTACCGCCTCCATCCTGTTCTTGCCCCCCCCCCCCCCCTCCTGCTGTCTAGCAGTTGCCCCTCACCACAAGTACAACACACACCCGAAACCTGTCCCCTCTTCCAGGAGGCCTCCCCTGACCCCCACCCCAAGAGCTCCTCCGCCCTGGCATGTCTGAGCCCCACGCCGGAAGGCTAAGCATCCACGTGGGCCCAGAGTCCCCAGAGCCTGTGGCCACACCTGCTTTCCAGGGGGTCTCTGGGGCTGATGGTGGCTCACCTGGTAGCCAGAGGCCTTGACGGTGGGGTTGTTCTCGATCTCCCAGAGCCCCTCGCTGAACCCTTTCCTCTTGTTGGGCTTGCCAAACTTCTCCTTGGACTCCTCGTAAGGGAAGAGGTCTTTGGGGCCCAGGAATGCCCTGGTGAGAGATGGGAGACTGTGCTCTCGAGCCCCTTACTGCCTCTGAGCTGTGTGGCCCGACAGGGAAGGGTAACCATCACCACCTCTCTTGCCCCAAAGTGGTTCGCCCGCCCGTGGCCCTCCCCACCTCTGCCCCTTACTCACGTCTCATGGGTCCCGAAAAAAAAGACTTGGTATTTGTTGGCTGTTGATTTCACCGCAGCCTCGGGCATCTCGTCAATCTGAGAGCAGGAGGAGGGGAGTGAGTGTTAGCTGGAGTCCCGAGGCCACATATCTGGGGTCAGGGGGCTGATCTCCAAGACATTATAATGTGTAGAATCAGACTCAGGGGGACCCAGGAGATCACCTAGGTGGTTTCTGAGCCCTTTGGGGAGAACTTTTTTCAAACAAAGTCAGACATGAAAGCCCAGCAGAAACTCTAGTCACCCCTTTTCCTTCACAAGCTCAACAGACATGTCCAGATCCTGCCCAAAGAGCCCCACGTCTTTGCCACTACCCAGGCCCAACCCGTCATCTCTTGCCTGGACTAAAACCAGAGCTTCTATCTCTTCTGTCTCCCATACTACAACCCACTCTCCACACTATGGCCAGAGCAGACCCTGCAATGTGTTGATCTCAGCATTCCACCTCCCTAATTTGAAACCTTTCCATGGCTTTTTGTGACTCTAGGGCCCAGCAATGCACCTCTTCTACCTAATGTCAAGGTTTGAATCCCAATGCTGCCACCAGGATTTGTATGACCACCGGCAACTTACTGAACCTCTCTCTGCCTCGGTTTCCTCATCCACCTGTAAGATGGAGACAGTCACAGCACTCACTTAAGCCATAGAGTTGTGAGAATTAAATGAGTATAACCCGGCATGCCCCACATGTGCCGGCTACCCTCCACTCCCCGTGTGCTGCCTGCCCTTCTGTTCTCTGCTCTGGCCGTACTGATCTTTCAGTCTCCCATACTCACTAACTCCTCATCGGCCTTCCATCACTACCTCCAGCAAGCCTCCCCATCTCCCCCAACCCAGTTAGCTTCCCAGAAAAAACTCTTAGCATCTTCCTTCACAGTGCCTTTCACAACACTCATTTTATAACATTTCTGTTATCATCTGAGTAACATCTGTGTGGACTATCAGAGAGCAGGTCTGTTTGTATCCCCAGCACAGTGCCTGGGACGTAGGAGGTGCTAATAAAGATGTGCTGAATGACTCCATGAAACAGATAAAAGCAAACTGCTCTAGTGAAGAGGGGTGAGGCCAAGGGCTGCCTATTCCACTTCCCCCTCAGTAGAAGCCCCCAAAGGCTTCTGGGAACATTCTGAAAGCCATCTGATGGAGTCAAACTCTCTCATTTTACAGATGAGGTAATGAGGCTCAGAAAAGAAAAGTGATTTGTCCAAAATGACAGGGCAGGTTAGGGAGGGCCAGGGGTCAGAGTGAACCTCCTGCCCTACATGTCCTGGGGATATGAGCAGTGCTGCGGTCCAGAAGGTACAGAGGTCTGAGGTCAGGGAAATGGGGAGAGGCATTGGCCCAGACAGCCTCTCCCAAATCTGGACCTGGAAGTCCAGGCCAAACTGAGCAGGGGGAGGGGAGGAATGGACTACAACTCCCAGCAACACTTGCAGTTAGCCCCAACCGCCTGGCTTCCCTCCGGACAGAGGCCAGGTGGCCATGTTGACTGGGGCCCCAGGCGCAGATAGTAAAGAGAGACACAGGCCAAGACAGTGATTAACACCCAGAGACCAGGACAGGGGGCCTGACCAAGGGCCTTGTGAGACAGGGAGGGTGGAAGGATGGAAATGAGCTGAGACACACCCAAGTGAGGGGGTGGAGCTCTGGGCATGAATCTGAGGGGCAGCTTACCCCTGACATGGAGCCTCCAGGCTCCTGGGCACCTCCCCCCTTGCCCTATGGCCTCTGGGGACAGAGGTCCAACCCCTCCCCCCAGGAAGGCCCAGCACCAGCGGGGCCGCCCCCACCAGGAGAGGCTAGGTGTGAGGAGAACAGGGGGTGGGAAAGCATGCTGTCCCCCCAACCAAACATGATCCCCATCACCATGACAACCCAACCCCGCCCCCAGGGCCACTCAGCAACCAGGAATGTGACTGCCCCTCCCCCCAGGTCCTCTCCAGATTGGGGAGGAGGGTACACACACACACACCCTACCCCCAAGCCTGGAGTCTGGCACCTGGGTCCCGGGCTGTGCTTGAAACCACAGCTAGGGCTGGAAGGCCCAGGGCCCTTCTTAGGAAGCCAGGCTTGGGGTGGGGGCAGAGGAGGGGCCAGTCCTTGGCCAGGACACCTGGGTCCTGTTACCAGCCAGCTCCCCACCCTCTCAGAGGGGGTAAGCAAAAAAAAAAAAAACAAAATGAGAGCCCCAGGGCTTAGAGATCCCAGGAGCCAGGCAGAGTACAATAACAGCAAGCCCTTCCCCAGGCCTCTCCTGGTGGAGCTCTCAGCACCAGGAACCAGGGGCAGGGGTGGGTAGCAAAGGGTCTCTGGCCGAAGTGCAGCAAGGGACTTTGAGTCCTGCATTTTCAGTGCTCACACCTGAGCCAGGGAATGTGTGGTGAAAGGGGAGAAACTGAGGCTCAGGAGAGGGGGTGGGGTGAGCAAAGACGCAGCAAAACAGCTCCTCAACCGTCAGTCTCTTTCCCAGGGAACGCAAACTCAGAGGTAGCCGAACGGTGCGATGGGAGACCGGGGAGGCCACCAGCTGCCCAGCCTCTCGGGCAGGGGAGAAACAAAAGAATGGATGAGAATTAAAAATAGAACAGACACACCAGATATACCCGCCCTGCTGACTTCTAGCCAAATAAAGGGTGGGTGTACAGGAAAGGGGGAGGCCAGGGGCCTGGGCACAGGGGCACCGACCAGGAGAGGTGTGCTCTTTTCACTTAATGGAATTCCCAATGCCTCAGCCCCAAATGAGAAATCCCTTCTGCAGTGGACCCGCTATCCTTCAAGCTACAAAGGAAATGTCTTTTCTTGCATTTGGAAGTGAAGGGCGGTTCTTCCTCCACATAGAGGATGTGAGGTCTCAAGGGAGACCTGTACCCCTAGTCAGACATATGTCTCCCAGGCGGTGCCTTTATATCCAGGCTGTGACTCAGAACAAGTGAGTCAAGGCTAAGTGGGTCAGGGTGGGGCCAGATGAGTGCCTGGGACCCCTTTGTGCCCCCTCCACTGGCCAAGAGAGAAGGGGGTTCTGCTACTTCTCAGCCATTCCAGGAAATCCAGGCAAGTTAATTCTCCTCCCAGGCTGGGACCCATCTACTCCTACCCTCACCCTCTGCATTATCTGATTCCATTAGACAGGCCTGAGCACATGAAACCCCATCTTCCCAGAGCCCACAGACACCCTCTGAAGTCTGAAAAGGAATCTTTAGTTCCCAGGTGAGGAGCGGGGAGAGAGGACTGAATGCTCCTCCCCGGGCCTCAGACCAAGTCCAGGCCGAGGGTCACCTGCCCAGTACGTAGGAAGGCAGCAGGGAAGGCTGAGCCCACACTGACTGCCAGCCGGGGTTCTGACCACCATACCCAGGCCCGACCTGACCCAGGAACCGGAAAATCTGGGGCAGGAGACAGTTGGGGCCGGGAAAGTGTGGCAAGCCCAGGAGGCAGAGGAGAGGTGGTGGTGCCTGGACGTGGGGGAGGGGCAAAGGGAGCAGCGTTGGGTGAGGCCTTCGCTGCTCAGGTTTTCTGGGATTGTGAAACTGGGAGCAGAGAAAGGAGGAAGGAACCTGGGGAGGAAAAAAAGCCCTGAATCTTGGAGGTTAATTGTTAAGTGCTTGGAGATCCCCCAGGAAGTCAGGCAGAGGAAGAGGGAAGGGGGAAGGTTAAGATGGAGTCACACCATCCTTCCAGGCAGGTCTTGCTACCACGTGGCCCCTCGGGCTGTGCTCTCCCAGCACCGGGCTGTGCTAGTCCCACCCAGAGCCAGCCATCCTCTCCTGAGGGAGTAGCCTTTACCACAGCTCAGGATTCTGACTGCCTGTTAGATGGTGCCAGCGAGGCCCGACTCCTCCTCCTCCTCAGGAGGGACCTGGGCTCTGCCTTTCTAGGGACTAACACAGCGTCCAAGGATGCTAAGGAGGCTCACACTGGTCTGTTCTTCTGGCATTCAAGGGGGACGTGTCTGAGAGAGAACAGCTTGAGTGCACTGTTCCCTCCAATTGTCACAATCAAGACCAGTGCACAGGCACAGGCAAAGGGTGGGACCTGATCTCTTGGGGATCCAGTCTGATCTCCCATCCCCAACCCTAACTTTTATCTAAAAGGTCCAGGCCTCAACAGAGGAAGAGGCTCTGCCGCCTCCCTGTTCCACCCTTCTGGCCTGGAGGCCCAGGGTGAAAAGAAAAAATAGATGGCATCCCCAGTCCCAGGTGCTGCCCTTACTCCAAAGGCCAGAAACCTGAAGGTCTTTCTCATGGGGGCTGGTGAAGGACCATCTGTGTCCCTCCCTTCTCCTTGCCTGATCCAGAGGGGCTCCCTGCAACCCACAGTCCCGCTGCTCCCCCTCCCCAGGGCTTAGCCCAGCCTCTGGACTTTATCCCACCCCCAGGAGGTAGGAGCAGTAGAGACCTGGGTTCAGTTCTTGGCCTGGCCACCACCAGGGCCTAGGCACCTGGGCCAAGAAGCCACATGGATCAATGGTGCAGGGTAAGGTACCTGAGAGCTCACACACCACGAACACACATGCACACACAAGGCTGGCTGTGACTGCTTCCTCGTCCTGCCTTCCACCCACCCTCCCCAGAAGCTGGGAGAGTCCCACTTCTCTTTTTCACTCCCATTCCAGAGCATCAGACTCCAGGCATCTAGAAGTTCCAGGCAACTAGGACCTCAAGGCATATGGGATCAGGCACACTCCTCAGGAGAGGGTACTGAGTGAGGAGGGGTCTCCTGGGTTTTCTCAGAGTGGCCCTGCTGTGAGCCTGACTCCCTGAACGGGGCACGGGGGCGGGGGGCCCACAGCCACTTCCTAAGCTCAGAGCAGGGCCTGGGCCACATGAAGGGTCAGACTCACGCAGAGAAGGGCAACCCAAAGCCATAAGGCCGTTCTGCACTTGGCCCCTCACGCAGAACACTCCCTCCCTCTAATCCTCTCCGCCCTCATATCTGACTCTACAGGAGTCCCACACTCCAGGGGACCGAGTCATGCCAGCACGCAATACCTGAGGCCTCTCCACACCATCTTTGAAATAAGTGGCCAGAGGCCTTGCCCCTGGGGCACCGCCAACCTCCCTCAGCACCCTCTAGCAACCTCCTGCCCTCCTTACTTCACCTGTCTCAGTCCTTAGGGGAAACCTGAGGAACACACCATGCTGGGCTTCTGGGCTCCACCCTCCCACCTGGCCAGGTGCTGGAAGAGGGGGTGGTGGCTCATATTGGCGGGCTCCATCAACCACATGGCTGGCTGGGCCGTTGTGGCTTGTGGCGGGAGCGGCTCTTATCTGATGTGTGGGAGGGGGCGGGTCGGGCTGCCCCCACTTGCACTGAAAGGCAATCTGGCCTGGACTTCCCAGCCTCACAGGGGCCCTGCCACCCTTGGCTCCCAATCTGAGTTGGCAGCATATGGAAGAATATTTTTGTGGAGTTGAGGAGCGAAGGGTTCTGATGGTAATTTCCGAGTCAGGTAGATCCCCTCTTGCGCCGCCCCAAAGGTTCCTCGACCCTCCCAACTTCAAACCTCTTACAGAGACCCTAAACCAAAGTTTTCTAGAAGTAAACTCCGCCTCCATCTATCCCCTTTCTGGGCTGGGATTTTTCTTTAACCATTTAACCCAGGAAAAGGAGTTTAAACGGGCGGCGGGGGTGGGGTGGGGTCGGGGCAACGATCAATGAAGAAACTGGGGGGCTCTGAGGGGGTCCCAGAAGGGGGTGGCGGTGGCGCCTGGGGGATGGGTTCGGAGGGGTTACACAACCGGCCCAAACGCAGGCAGCGCGCCCGAACCCGCGGGGAGTGTGGGGGCTGGGGGCGGAACAGAGCACGCGGAGCCGGGGGCCGGGAAGTGGCCGGCGCCCTCGGAGCCCCTCGGCGCGCACACGCTCTACGCGGGGACGGCGGGCTCGCCAGGTGTTTGCTGCCCACCCCCCGCCCCGCCGAGGCCCTGCCTCCACCATTATATAACCGGCGGGTGGGCTTGGAGGCGCTCGCGGAAGAGTCGGGGGACTCAGAGACCCCCGCCCCTCCCTCCGCGCGGAGCACTCGTGCCCTACCGGGTGTTACGCAACCCAAGCCCGGAGGGGTAGGGGGCGGCGGGCCGCGCTGCTCACCCGGGCCGGCCAGTGCGGGTAGCCCTTCATCTTGGCGAACACCAGGTCCCCGCACTTGTACTCCTTCTGCCGGTTGGATCGCGACATGGCGGGGCTCCGGGCGCCCCGGGCTCCGCGCCGGGCCGGGAAGCGTGAGCCCAAGTTTGCGCGTGCGGCGGTCGCGGCGCCGCTCCGCTCCGGCCCTCGCGCGGCCCCCGCCTCGATGGTGGCCCCCGGCCCGAGCTCCGGCGCCGCCACGGCGTCTCCGCCCGCGCGCCGCACGGACGGGGCGGGCGCGGATTGGGGGCAACGCTCCTCCGGCGCGGTGGGTGCGCGCTCGTGCAGTTGTTTGTGTTTGAAATTCAATTGCTCCCTCCTCTGCGCGAGGCCTCTTCCTCCACCCCCCGCCCGGTCCCCACTCCCGCTCCTCCCTCCTCCGCCTCTTCGCCCCTCGGCGCTCCCTCCCGCGGCGGTTTGATGCGCGCAGCCGCTGGACGCCGCGTGCCTGCCACAGCCCGACGCCCAACCCGGAGCCGCCTGGCGGCGCGCGGCGACACAGGCGTGAAGAGCCGATCGCCGAGCACGCCGAGCGGGCTTTGTGTGCCGACTGTCGGTGGGCGCCCGCCCGCCCGCCCGGGAAGAGCTGGCGCCCGGCTGGACGGAGCGGTCTGGCGCCCCTCCCCCGGCCCCGCGGGGCGCCCACAGCCGCGGTCTCGACGCAGTCAAGTGTCGACGTCTAAGCGCACCCTGCCCTCCGCTCCTTCCCAGTCCACGAATGCTTGCGCGGCAGCCGCCGAGTTCGGCGGCGTGTTAGGCGCCGGGCGAGGGGTGGGCACCGCGCCGCTACTCTCACGGTCTGCCCGCGGCCACCACGATCTGTGGGGTGGCCCCGGAAACATCGCGGATTGGCGCCTTACAGCGGCCTTTGTTGAGGGAGCAAGGCTCTAGTTTGGTAGCCAGAAGATGTCCGAGGGGTTGTGACATACATTGGCCACGTTCCGGGTACATTAGCTAAATGTCGGTTCTCTGTGCTACTTCCTGGCAAAAGAGATTTGGGCTCTGTCATTCGCTAAGCCTGCAAAGATGAGCTTTTTTTTCTAGTGGGAAGAGACAGAATGCCAGTAAATCCCTAAACAATTAACTCTGGAACAGAGGAGCCAGCCACTACCTCTCTTGGGGGCCGGATGGACGGAGTGGGGGTGAGAATCTGGGAAGGCTTCATAGAGGTGGTGACTTTCAACTGGGCCTTAAAGAATGAGTGATTTTGCAGGACTCCAGAGACTACATTTTAGCTTAGGTGATATACATTAACAAGTGATACAGCCAAAACTTCAACGCAGGTCTCTTCCCATTAAGCCAAACAAGACCTTATTGTAATTCATCTTTTATTTGCAGTCACTGTTTTGGTCTTGGTTTTGCCCCAAATCCAGAAACCTATGGTCTCTTAGGAATACCAGGTTTGGATTTTATGTTAACACCATGTCCAGATCCTTAAAATTCTGCAACAAAATAATTCTAAGTTTGAATAGGTAAATAGGCACGTTTTTCTTCCACAAGTCTCCTGATCCTACTTCAAAGCATGTGCAAGGAAGCTCAGATCCATATCCTACCCTGCTGTTCGCCACTCACGAGAACTTGGATGACCCCCTGAAACTTCTCTTGAGCTTCAGTTTCCTCAGCTGTAAATGGGGTAACACTTCTGCTCTGCCAACATCAGAGGCATGGAATGGCTGCTTATCATGACTTGAGGCCTGCTGTTGTTCCCTACAGTCCTTCCTGTCAGTTGGTTTTCCTTATGCCCATGACAATGCATTTCACAAGTTTTGCCTTTATAACAGTGTGGCCTCTCAGCTTAATTCCTCTTGTGGTAGGAGTCCCTCTGAGCCTGTTCACAGCCACCCCAGACCCCAGGCTGCTGGCACAGTGAGGCACTCTGCAAGGTCCTGTTGCAATAAAAGAGCCATGCATATCCTCAGCCACAGACTCCCAATTTGTTTAAATAGCAAATCCAAACTTGTGCAACAGAGCAGCTAGTTTTGAATTGGTGTTTACAATGCATTCCTGTTTGAAATGCTGCAGTCAGTCTCATAGTCCAGATTCTGTCAGGCTAACGTTTTTCTTTGTTCTTATTGTTGTTAGCAGAGAATCTTGTCACAAGTGCTTAAAGGTGTTTCAGCAAATCCAGTGTCACAGTAGGTTTCCATTAAGGGTCCAGGCCTTTATAATAAACAGGCACTGTTTCAGAGCAACAAACATGTTTTTAACTATTTTCCAATTTAGTACACCCCGATTTAGTTAAATCCAAGAGTCCTACCCATTTCTCCAGTTTGTTGCATCATAATGGCCTGTTTGGAGGTGGCAATAAGGCTTCTAAATTCTTTTTGCAACAAATCTCTTGGGTCTGTCATTCAGTCCACCCTGCAGATGCTTGTTGCAGTAAAACAGCCAGGGTCCCCTTTGTTGCAATAATCTCCTAGGTCTTGGTTGCAATTTAATATCCAAGTTCTCCTTACAATAACAGCATCAACCAACTCACAGCTGCCCCTAACAACCAAGCCAGGAGCCACAAAGGGTCAGTTAACACAGGCGGGCATAAGCCTGCTTCCCCGGGGATTCAGATCTAACTCATGTACAAACGAATCTCCTGGGACTCCTCTTAAAAAGCAGATTATTTTTTATTTTTTATTATTTTTTATTGAAGGGTAGTTGACACACAGTATTACATTAGTTTCAGGTGTACAACACAGTGATTCAACATTTATATACATGATAATTCTTGCTACCAGCTATCACCATACAAAGTTGTTATAATATTTTGACTATATTCCTTATGCTATACATTACATCCCGGTTACTTATTTATTTTACAATTGGAAGTCTATACTTCTTTTTTTTTTTTTTAAAGCAGATTCTAATTCAGTATGTTTGGGGTGCCCGTATGTCTAACACCCCCCAGGGTTCGGCTGCTGCTCCTCTCAACCACCATTTGAGTTGTGAGGGTCTAAAACACAGGGTCACAGGCCCCCCAGACTGTCAGCCCCAGCTTAGAACCAGTTCACAAATGTCTCTGAATGATTCTATCAATGCTGGTGCTTGATTCTACATTTGTGTAGTAGCAAGGTGGGGACAGAAGTCAGGGGACTTGGGGCCCCAGAGCAGAGAAGACTTGCAGGTATAGGTTTGGCTCTAGGGTTCCAAAGCCAAGTCGCTGGAGAAGCAGGATCAGGAGAGATGCTAATGGACATATTTCTGTCCTATCAGAAAGGAGTTGACACAGCAGCAGGAGGGATCGAGTTAAGCATCCTAGAGGGAGGGGCAATAAGGTGTGGTGGAAACAACTTAGGCTTGTATGTCAAGAGACCTGGGTTTGAATCTTGATTTTGGCAAATGACTTCCATAGACTTTCTAAACAAGATTTTCTTCCATTGTGCAAATGTGAATACAAATAGCTACCTTATCTGGTAGTTGTGAAAAGGAGATCATCTGTGTGCAAACCTCACCTGCTCATTAGGTTCAAAGGAAATGTTAGCTTCCTTCCCTTTAATTCCCAAGAAAAGAGTGCGGTGTTTGGCTCTGGCTTCAGCCCTCAGCACTGTGTAAACTACTTCCACCACCACGGCTTAGCCGCCAGTTCATCTGCTCTAGAAAGTGGAGAAGAAGATGTGTAGTTGTCAGAACTGTCTTCATTGCCCCCTTCCACGTGTGCCACCTAGAGTAAAAGAGCAGCCATGTTACTATGCATTTTCTAGAAGTCAGAAGGGTTGAGTCAGAGATAACAGGGCCTGAGTACTGCCCCACCACTGACACATTGTGTCACTTTAGGAAAGCTACTTAAGTGCCTTGGGTCTATTTGCATGTCTGTAAGATGAAGTGTTTCTCAGGTTTACTGTCTATAAAAAGGGGTTGTGATGAGGAATGAATGAATGAGTGCATGTAAAGTGCTTTGAACGGAGCCTGGAACATCATAGTGAGTGCTTGATAAAATTGGTTGTCTCTCTATTTATATTTGTTTTGAGAAAATGGGTTCCTTTGCAGTGAGCTTCTGAAGTACCAGCCTTATGCCCTAATAAAGCCGGCACTACAAAGGTGAGGTGGTTTGAATTCCAGCTGCACCACATAGCATGTGACCTGCCACAATTACTCTATCGTTCCCTGCCTCAGGTTCCTCATCTGTAAAGGAGGATGTTGATAAGCCAGTTAATATATGTGACATTCTAAATGCTTAGAATGGCGCCTGGCACAAAATAGGTACTATTGGCTATTATATGGTAGCTGTTAGCTGTTAGTTTAATAATATTAACTATTTTTCTTTAAAAAATCCTTATGTTTTATAGCTCTTCTACATGTATAATAGCTCTCATAATACTTTTTTTTAAAAGAAGGTTCTGATTTAAAAAAAGTGAAAATCATGGATTAATGTTCTAAGCCTATACTGTCTGTCCAATATATGTGACTATTTCAATTTAAACTGATTGAAATTAAATATAATGACATATTTAGTTCCTCAGACGAGTCACATTTCAAGAGCTTGGTGGCCTCATGTGACTCAGGGGCTACTGCATCAGGCAGCACAGATATAGAACATTTCCATGACCACAGAGAGTTGTATTGGACAGCGCTGCCCCAAGGCAAGGCCTTTTTGCTTGAGCTGTACATTAGAGTCACTTGAAGAATTTAAAAAATACTAATGCCTTGGCTGACAGCTGGAGCCATTAAACGGTTTGGCAGGAGAGAAACAGGAGCAGAGTAGAACTTCTAGAAGCTTCATCTTGTGGCAGCATGGAAGTAGAGGGGCCTGGGATTGGGGCCAGGAAAGAGGGTACAGAAGTGGTCCCTCTGAGGGCATTGTGCCCCTGTGTGTGGAAGGGGCTACGAAGTCTCCTGGGGAGCTGTATTTCTGGGTTCTTTTCTCCACTCTTTCCAAGAAGTGTGGTGGTTACAGCGCCTTAGCTCTCAGGGAGAGATCTTCAGCCAGAGGGGTGACAGCACCTCGAGGTCCCCTGAGTCCCAGATTACCATTAAAAAAATTCATATTAATTTTTTGTATATGTAGTGAATATATGTATCTTATACAAATTTAGGAGGTAAAATAATTTAATGAAAAGTTGTCTCCATGTCACCCCCATCTCTTAACCACCCCATTTTTCTTAGAGACAAAAATATCACCAATTTTGTATGTATTCGTCCAGTGACATTCTCTCCATATACCTTTCAAGAAAATGCAGAAGCTATTTCCTTAACACAAATTGTAGCAGCCCGTATACACTGTTCCACACTTTACTTTCTTTTACTTTACAATCTATCTTCAGACTCCTTTCCTATTGGTCCACGAAGATCCGCTGCCCCATTCATTTTATTGGCTGCATGGTAGTTCACAATATTTCTGTGTTGTCAATTAATTTAGCCAGTTCCCTGT